GTAATTTTTTTATTTTAATAATAATTATAATGATAAATTAATATTGTATAATGATAATAAGCTTGTATTAAAGGAATCAGCATCGAATTCATTTATTCGATATTATGAAGTATTATTTGCACTATACCATGATTTGGTATTTGATCACAAATTATTTAGAAAAAAATTAACTAACAATTTCACGAACAGGATTTACAAATTTCTAGCAGCTCTAAAAGTGAATATAATAGTGACAATAATTTAAATGATTATGTATCTACGGATAATCTAAAAGATAATAATATACTTAAAAGTGATTTGGAAACTGGCGATAACTATGAGATATACTGTAATAATTATCTATATAATTTAATATTAATGTGTATAACTTATACATACAGGTAGTAACTAATTACAGATCTTATAATTATATAGTATTAACCAATATTTGCCCAATTTGGTCGCAATTTAACTATCGATCAAGTAAATATTACCTTAAGTTTCAAGAATATCCTAAAACTTCTAAAACTGGTATCTCTAGTATCTACAATGTTTTCAGTTAGAAACCAGATGATGCTAAAAATGCTTTTGGAATTTCTAATATCCAATATGCTTATGGTGATCCTAGAACTATTCGATCAATTCAGAAATATCCATTTTTAGATATACCTGTCAAAAAAACCTACCGCTCGTGCCTTAGTGTAAAAGTATACGAATTTAGCTTAGCAACTCTTGATATTGAATATATATCAGTTAATTTTGAAGATCAACATTATAAAACATCTTAGAGAATATAAACAAGTATGTAGATACATATGTAAAATATTAAATATATATATTTTTAATTTAATAATTTATTATTTTAGATTGATAATATATTGATGATTCGAAAGTTTATTGGATGCTAAAAATATTAATTCAGCCAAAAGAGGCACCATTATATTTCAATTAGTCAGCATGCAAATATGGACTACCTTGAACAATTATTTCAAAATTATATATACTGTTCAAATGAAATTAACAGAAAGGTACGTATATTTATATTATTAAAACAAATATTTATTTATTATAAATATCTAATATTAATTTAATTATAGGATTATACAAATAAATCTGTTAATGAATGTTTCACAGTTTTTCCAAATTCTTCTACAATGAGCCATTGTTATAAGTA